AATCCACTAGAAAAGCTTTCCTTCATTTCTTTCTTTCTTTTCCAGTTTTTAATTACATTACCTCTTTGTCCTTTGAGAAATGCAATCTTACAAAAGATTTTTGCTAGGTTCTCAGGTGGAAAAGCAGCAGACCACAGGGTCATCACCAGTAACTACTCTAGAATTGGAACTAAACACTGTACAAATATTGTAACCTTTAAGCAGCTGACGTCAGGTCCAGAAACAACACTGGAATTTAGGCAGCTAACTCTAGGAAAAAAAAAAGTTATTGCTACTTTCTATTCCTGAACTTGCTCAGGTATGCCAATCTTTCTCAAATTGAGAACATTTCATTTCTGTACGTGCCAGGAAACATTGTGGTCTTTGTATGTTTTAGCAGCTTGTAGCCCACTTTATAATTAACATGGAGCAGGGGCTCAACCAGGAATTTCTCTGGGATTGTGATGTTCTTCTATAAGGAAAAGTATAGATGATTAAAATGACGCAGTGGATCAAAATGAAACAGAGAACAAAAAACAGCCAACAGACTGAAAAAAACTATAGATTTTAGAAAATGGCTGTTTTGAGTTATATACATGTGGAAGTGAAAATCGCATTCAGTAATGGCTAGGAACTGCAGGATTTGGTTATTAACTGTACACACATTAGAAGTCCTGTTCTGAAGGTGTATGTAAGTTTTAGCTTAGGATTCAATTTAGAGATGTCAGCAGAATGGCAATAAAAGCTCCAACTTTGCAAAAGCATGACAAAGTTTTTAACAAAAGGCAGATTTTTTAAGAGATTACTCTTCCTTTCAAGATATAAGTATCAGAGGAGAAAATAAAACCAATCAGAGTAATAATTAGAAATAATAAGAGGGAAATCAGAAGCCACATCATCTATCTGTGAGAAACTGCAAATAATTTTAACACATCAGAAATAGAGAAGTAACAAAATTAACATTTACAAAAGGAGTCAATTAACAAGCCCAGGATAGAACATCATCAACTCAGTCCTGACCCCAGTTACACTGTGTATCAAACTAGGTTGAATGGACTGCTTCATTCATTTTCTTTTTTTTCTTCCAGAAGAGAAAAAATGACCTTAGACCTAATACAGAAGGATGAGAGGCAGCAACAATAGTCCTTCCAGTGTGGAGAGCTGCTGGAGTAGCTCCACACCACTGAGATGAGAGCAAGGCAGGCAGCACAGCGGGATGCAGAAGTGAGGACAGAGCAGGTAAGGGCAGCACTCCATCCATCACCAGCCACCACTGCTCCGAACAACAAAGCAGTAATGCTATTCCATAGCTTCTCTGGCTTCTGCCAGGATTTAGCCTGTACTACTCATTGGCCTGCAAAGCATAAACACTGGATTAGAGCTAGGGTTGCCACCCTTTATTTCAACAAGTACAAACTGATGGCCGTGGTCACATGAGACGCCTGCAATTACAAGCCTGCATGAGAAGACAGACCCGGATTTCCTCTTTTCTACTTTCTATGTCAATAGAGAACACAAGGGCTTTGTCTCAGGCATACAAGAGGTAATGCCACCAGGCTATTGGCTGGAACTATCACCTCTGGTAAGTAAAAAGCAACTCACATCCTGAAGCATTAAGAAAAGGATATTTCCTTCTCAAAATGTTTGCTGTCATTAATTTTTACAAATACTGGCATTTTGGAAATAGTCATGTAAGTGACTTATCTGCCTCAATCTCAGACAGGCTGATGAGTTGGAGGTTTTTTGCTTTGTTTTCTTAAACTTAAGTCCCTTATCTAATAGTTTTAAATTTGAAGTTGTTTCGACTTTGTTTAATGTTGCCATGCACTCTAAGACAGGGATTGTGACACAAAGCATCCAATCTACCTTCTACCTTATTACATCCTATTTGTCTTGTTTTCTCTTACAGACAAGCACTGTATGTCTTATGAAGCTGTTTTCTCTCTTTTTCCTCAAGAGAGGAGAAAACCTTTAGTTCAAATCTTTGTCCTGAGAAGAGCATAAAGCAAACCTCGCCTTAAAACTCTCCTGTGCCCCAAATGAAAGCACTCTGGGGGTGGACTGAAATAGAGCAGTGGCAAGTCTGGAGCTGCTCTGCAGTCAGTAAAAATGGAAATGTACCCCAAGAGGAGAGCAGACACACAGGCAGACAGAATGACTCTTTCACTCTGTGCATGACTACTGAAGCTATGAGGTGGGACTGGACACCACGCCTGATTCTGGGAGGGTTGGAGATTCATGATCCTTGAAGTCCCTTCCAACCCTGGCCATTCTGTGATTTTAGGACCACCTCCAGATCAGTCTGTAAGGAGACAGCTACAGCAAACAGCTACAGCAAACAGCTATGGCTGTTTCTCCAGTGCCAGCTAACATTAAGCCATTCTCCAGGAGTTTGTGTTCAAATTCCTCCAACCGAAGGAGGGAAAAGAATGTGGTTTCCTTACATCCTAAATCAACATCCAAACAGTCAGCACATTGAAAAGTAACCCCGCCTTGGCATCTTTCTCCGACTCACCTCTTCATCTCTTTCACTTTCCTTACTGAGGTTCCAGCATAAAGAACATTCCACCACACACTGCTGCACAATCTAGCTTTGTCTCCTACAGCATCTTGAGCAAACCACATTTTCCTGTGAGTGCTGTTGCTAAGTAACTAGTTACTCCTACAAGAGAAACGAAGTTCCCTCCCAAAGTTTAGCATCTCCACCCTGGTGAGTAGCTGCAATTTATCATAGGTATTTAAATGATCCACAAGTGCTACACACAGGAGCAACACAAGGAAGCCTCAGTTTTCCACTGGAGACAGAGATAACCAAGTTTAAACTATCATAAAGTTTGTATTTTTACATACAAGAGCAAACAGACGTGGTTTCAATGCAGTCACTGCTACAGCCTGCTGAACCTTCACCCCCAGCCCACAGCAGGGATGTGTTGCAGTTTGTGGCTGTCCTGGGGCAGTCTTCACACACAGCCCGTACGAATTTCTTCCAAGTAATAATTACCTTACTGTTTTTATTTTACAAATGGCATCCATTGAAGAATATTTCAGAATTCTTAACTGGCTTTCTTATCTTTTTCAAGGATTTTTTTCTAGTTAGGATGAAGCCAGCGCACATAAAATGAAAGGGAGGGAACAAGAAGTGGAGTTCAGGGTGCTGAGATCAAACTTTCCCTATGAGTTTTACGTGCATTTGTTCACATGATGAATGGCAAATTCCATCAGCTGAACCTAAGGAACACCCTCCAAGTGCTCCTTGCAATTTCATATTGCCTCTCCTAGCCTAAAAACATGGTACCATCAGTTGGGACCAGCAGAATTGCATCTGTCAAAAAACTTTTCACCTTTCTGTTAAATAAAAACTCTCTGTAATAAGCAGACAACCTGATCTGTATACTCAGTGACTTAAAAAAAAAAAAAAAAAAAAAAAAAAGTTAATGCTTGTTCCAATAATTCAGGCAATGCTAAAATCAACTACACCGCAAAACAGTCAATGCCATTACTGGTATCAGCTGATTAAGTTTGCATTAGTAGTGTGAGCGATCATTTTGGAGCAATGGAAAAAACATGGCATATTTTGTATAGTACCACCTGACTGCCAAGGCTTGGATCTCTGGAAGGGCAGCACTCTGGACAACTTTTAGGTAAATTTTTGAAGCTCTTCTTAATCAAAGAGCTTCTGCTACTGATTTTAGTGAGGAACTCAATTGTTCAGGTTTTCACAGTTCAGCTTCCCAGCATAAATGCCTGAACTCATTCTTCTCAGGGAGGCTGACCACTACACACCCATACCTGAAAGACAACTGTTTTGAAAAATAAGTGCTTACAAAAACTTTGGCTAAAGGAATGTTGACTCAAGATTTTCAAAATACCAATTAACCTGCTATCTGGAACCAAGTGAGCATTATGTAACATTAAGCCAAAACGGACAGTAAAGGGGAAAAAAAAAAAATAACAACAATCAACCCACACACCAAGAAACTGCCACAAACCAAAACACAGTCATTTAACAGCTAGGTATTTCCCCTCAGTTCAGACTGAAAGAAATGCAAAAGAGGCTGAGTCCATAATAAGTGCTTCTAAAAGCAATGAGAAGTTGTAAGATGGGCATCTGGCTGGATTTCCAAAAGCACCTTCCTGGGGGGGAAGGGGAGGAGTAAACCTGGCACACTGCCTGCCTCTTTGAGGACTGAGCAAAGTCAATACTTTTGCTCTCGGTGCTTAGTAGGGCGGACTTAAAAATACAGCTTCATTTTTAATAATTTAGCATGCACAGGGACATCAGTGTAGATGTTTGTGGGAGGCACCACTAATTCATCAGAGACACTTCTTACACAGGAGAATTCTGCAGCTCCTGGGAAATCAGGCGCGGCTCGAACGTCCCCTGCTCTGCCCTACAGCCATTTGCGGGCGCCTCTTTGCTATGATCGTCACAAGGCAGCCCGACACCCTCCTGAAGCCAAGGGCAGGTGGGATGAAAGTTACATCAATGAGATCAACTCAGAGCCTCTGCACCCCGACTCTGTGCAAGGCACACAAGAGTCTCTTCTTGCCTCCATTGCGAGATGCTCCAAATCCGACACTGACCCATAGAACCAGAGGGCTACATTCAGACTGACAGAAAGGTAGAACGACGGATCTCTGGCGGAGCAGCAGACGCCCCGGTGCTGGCTGTGCCGGCGGTACCGGCCGGCCGAGCGCAGCTTCCAGGTGCGGCAGGGCAGCGCGCTCAAACACGGAGGCTCATCGAATTAAAGACGCGCTCTTTCCAGGCACCCACCCAGCCGTTGTTTTTTCCACAGCCAAACGAACGACGCCTCGGCTCGCCCTGCCTCGGTCGCTCCGCCCGCGGCCGGGGGCGGCCTGCTCGGCGGTTGCCCTCCCGCCGCAAGGCCCCGGCCCGGCCGCGGCCCCGCGGGTTCCCGAGAGGCCGCCCCGCTCCCCGCGGCGAGAGGGGCCCCGAGAGGAGCCCCGCTCGGTGAGGCCTCCGGCGCCGCGCGGTGTCGGGCCCGCCGCCGCCTTACCCGTGGTGGAGAGCACGGTGCTGGCGAAGAAGAGCGAGGAGGTGAAGTCCCAGTTCCAGTTGCCCGAGGCGTTGCTGAGCACCGAGACGCCGTAGTTGCTGGCCTCCAGCACCCGCAGCAGGAACTGTTCCAGCTGCTGCTCCGACAGGCACGCGTGCTCCACCAGGAAGCGCTGCTTCAGCTTGCCCAGCTCCTGCCGCAGCAGGTCCTCGTAGGGCAGCTCCACCGAGGAGAAGACGACGGCGCCGAACACCAGGTAGAGCAGGTAGCCCAGCACCAGCAGGGCGAAGCACCAGGCGGAGCGGTGCTGCTCTACGAGCCGCACGCAGGAGCTGCCCGCCAGCGACTGCAGCATCTTCCCGGGCCGCCGAGCGGGAGCGCGGCCGCTGCCGCCTGCAGTTGCTGCGCCTGCCGGCTCGGAGCGCGCGGAGCGGCGCTGATGTGGCGCTCACGTGGCGGCGCCGCGCAGGTAGCGCGCCCGGGGCCGCCCAACCGACAGCCGCCGGCGCGCCGGGCGGGACGGGACGGCCTACCCGCACCCTGCCTCTGTCGGCGTTCCCTGGAGGACGCTGGGCGGGAGTCCCGGTCCAACCCGCTGGGGCGGGGCGGCCGGGGAAGCCAGGCAGGGCGCGTATCCTCCTCCCCTTTGTACGCAGGAGTGCGGGAGATCCCCCCGCCTCGCTCTGGAACGCGGACGCCAGCGAAAGCTTTCCCTCCGCTCAGCAAAGCAGGAGGGGGTGATGCCACAGAGCTGCCACTCTGAAGCAGGACGCGGAGCTGCTGTTCACCTGCGCGATGGGTTCACCAAGTAGCTCTGGCGGCAGGAGCTGATGGTCTCCGTCAGAGCCACGACGTAAAAATGGGACCCTTTGGGCTGAGGTGTGAAGCAGGGAACCTACAGAAGCCCCATCCAGGCTGAACTGCTCCGATTCTGTGCTTCATTCCCAAAAATCCTCATTCTTTTAATAGCAAGAAGTGTGTGGCGGTGTATATAAATAGCTAAGAGCGGTGCCCACAGCGAATAGAAACACAAGTAGAAATACACAAGTCCATCCAGCCCTCTGTGATGGTCCAAAATGAAATGTCTTAAGCTTCATAGAATCACAGAATGGCTTGGATTGGAAGAGACCTGAAAAGATCATCTAGTTCCTCCTCCTGCCATGGGCAGAGCTGTCAATCACTAGATCAGACACTAAAAAAAGGAACATTTCAGGAGAAAGGTGCACATCTTAGATAGGCAGCTGCTTCATGGCCCTCAAAGAAGTTTACCCCACATGAAAAGAAACAGCACACACTCTGGCCCCTCTGGCATACCCCAAGAGTGCTGAAGGCAGCTTCTGGTAAAGGAAGCAGAGCAGGTCGCATGACCATGCCCAGCAGGCCACACCACTGCTGCCAACAGCTTAGTTGTGCCAGCATTTTGCACCCCTTGTTATTGTGAACTCACATTGGCATCCTGAAAGCACAGAGCTTGAATGCTTGGACAAAGTGTGCCTTTCGATGCTGTGGGCGGTACACACCTGAGAAAAGCAGATCAGGTGCCAGGAGTGCAGGTGTGCTTCAGCCTACAGATGTATGTGTGCTGTGCTTGTGTATACACCTTCTGAGTGCTCATTCCATCACACAGCCAGGGAGTGAGCCCTATGGATACATCCTTACACCATCACTTCAGTGCCTTTCATCATCGGCAGCGTATCTTTGAAGGATCATTTTTTGCTGTAAAACAGTGGAAAAAGGCTACCTAAATCAAAATCAATGACAATTAATAATGAATACTGCCTGAAATAATAATGTAATTCAGACAGGCTTTGGGAGTGTTTCAAACAAATGCATTATTGTACTGCACTAGGACAGCATGCATTTAAGCATTGCTATAGAAAAAGAGGTCAAGGAACCTCGTTAACCTATTTGGTATGCTTGGCTGACTCTGTCCAATTACTTAATCACTTGTCCCCTCCATGTCCAAGTGACCGAGTATGTCAATATATAACAGAAAAGCCATTTAAAACGAAACTTGTGACATACTGGCCTCCATTTTGATGAAGTGTTCCCAGTTCGCCCGATACAATAGGTTTCATAATATGATCTGATTTATAGCAACATCTGGTAGGTACACTGCATGCTTGACAGGGCATGGATGTCTCTATAAAACAGTATTTTCTCAACCTTCAGGCCAAATATTTGCTTAAAGATTGGAAAGTGTTTGCCTACGAACACACCTCTCTTCAGTGGTTACAGGAAGCTGTGGTGGGTAGCTGAACAGTTTTATTCATGGGCCTCCTTCTGTTTTCCATTTTTATGAGTCAGTCATTCTCCATTTTTAGAAACCTCTCACACTTGCAGGCTTGCTGGGCTAGAGGGAGGTGCAGGACTCTCTGCCAAACCGAACCTGTGCTGCCCTTGTAACTCAAGGATTTTTTCCTCCAAAATGTTTTTGAAAGCGTAGGCTGGGGGACAGCAGCAGAGCAGCACAACTTTACCACTCAAGTATTCATGTTCTTCCTTCCAAAGCAAGTGTCTGACTTCTAGCCATTGTTGTTTAAGTTTGTGCTTTAAACTAAAGCCCTTAACATACCTGATGATTACATTATAGATTTCATCATGATAGATGTGCAAAAAGAAAAGGGTCCTAGTGTTCAGTTGCCCGAGTTTAGCTGGATAATACTGTCAGCAACTTACCATAGTAATGCTACATATGAATGCAAATATGTCATTTCAGTTTTATTACAGAGTATGTTATGTCCATTTTCACATCATTCTTGTAGTCAAGGATCAAGCTAGTGAGGGACTGAGTGTGCTGAATTCAGTATTATGTGCTGTATAACAAAAAGACACACAATGCCTCAGTAAGAGTGAATGAAATTCTGGAGAAACATATTAGAAATCAGTCTTTTTTACAGCAACATTTCATTCTGTTGCTATCATCCCTCATCATAAGCCATTGATCCAGTTAATAAAACAAACCCCGTAATTCTATCACTCATCCACTAGCTAACCCCAGTGGTGGCTGGGCTCCCAACTGAATGAGTCTAGCTGCTAGCAGAGTGAGGAAACCTGCAACCAGTACATATTGGTGCCCTCTTTTTGCACCAGACTCAGTTCTGAGCTACAAAAAAATGCAGGTACAAGCTGCTTGTCCTGTGAGGGAACTCATGGGGAAGAGTAGAAAAGAGGAAAAAATGTCCTATTTCACAAATGCAACTTAGACAGAAACTGTGTTTGTTTTCTTGGGTGCCAGAAAACCATAGAGACAGGTAGTAGTCAGCTCTAACTGTGCTACTGAGGGAGATGTGACGATCCCCATCACATCACTTAGGCAGCATCTTCTCTTGTATAGTACACAGTCTGCTAAACTTTGCTGAGAAAATCCTCTCTCACATGCACAAAAGTGAGGCCCTCTCAGAGCAGCGTGAATCACTGACGTTTTCCGTTAGGAGAGATGATATCAACATAAGGAGCGTTAAACACAGCCTAGTTTTCCTTGAGCTTTTACATTAAGTAAATAAATCTTTTATTACTGACACATTTCCATTGAAAATCTGAAGTGCTCCAAACACCAAAAAACAAGAGATGATGGTAGGCAGAGAGGAGATGACAGCCTGGTGGCAGACAGTGAACGGAGAGAGGCCAGTGCACACTGGCCTTTGTTCTACTGACTGGCCTCTGCTGAATGGCAAATGGCAAAGAGATTGAAAGCTGGAGTGCTGCTGCTCTCATTGCTGAGCTCTACACCCTGAGAGGGGTGAGTCTGGGGAAAGGGAAACAACCACACTGGGCACAGTTATTCATGACAAAACTATATGCTACGTTCATCACCTAAGTGAGGTAATTGAAAGGGATTCAAATATACAGAGAATTTCAAGTTGACTGAAAGCTGTTTTTTGTTGCAAAAGAGCTAGTTTCAAAGGAACATTACAAACTTCTCCATTTTGTCATGTCTCACAAGAAAATATCCTTCCTCTCAAATAAAAGTCTAAATACTTGTGCTGAAGAACACAAATAAATAACTCTAATCAGCTACTCAGCACTAACAATCCTGACACTCCTGTTCTGCTCTGGCATACCTACTGCATGAGCTCACAGTACATTGAGCAGAGGTGGTGGTGGTGGTGGTGAGCAGGATGAACCCGGGCAGTGTGGGGGCCAGTAAACTGTTACTTGTGGAAAACATGAAATAGCATCAAAGCTATCACCCTGACAGCTGAATACTGAATAGCAATAATTCTGATTTGTCCTCCAGGGTTTTTCTTCAAATTTGGCAACAAGAGTGTGAATTCAGCGGTTATTTCAAGTTGAAAGTCTCTCTTATTAGTCCTAAATATATGTGAAGAAAGATAGGCATAAATGTAAGATACACTGAATCCACTTGCATTAAGGATTCTGCCACATTTAATTGTTCTGAGGAAAAAGGAAAATCCTTCATAATTTACCGTGTCTATTAAATGAAGGCAGGAGCATAATTTATTTCCTGTTCTTGTAGAAGAAAGTGTATCCTTAACCTTTGTTTCTGAACACTCCATTTGTGAGCTTTTGCAAAAAGTTAATATAAGGTCATCCAGTGGCTCTGATTGAATGTTATGTCCTTGTGGGCATGTGGGATGTCAATTTGTAGGAATCGTGTCCTCACAGACACCAACACAAATGTAGCTGAGAAGCTGTCAGATGGGTTACCATGTGTTGTGTGTCAGATGGGTTACCATTTGCTGTGCATCAGATGGGTAAGGTGTTCTATTTTAGCTAAAAGGAATCATCTAGATTTGGGTCAAACCATGTGAACCTTGCAAAAATTGAAACAACACAATCTGACGTTATAGGAAAAAGCAGTCTTTGAAGAGCGGATTCAGTCCTATCTTAATGCAGCAGGAGGATGGAGATGTGATAGGAGAGTACAGACATATTTAGGTCTTTAAAATTTATCACTGAGCAACCTGGTGACAGAAGAAATATTGCAGTGGAAGTAAAAGAGACAGCAAAGTGTGCGTCTGTACCATTTCCAATATCCTGCCTGGTTGTATTCTACTTGAAAGGGAAGAGAGAAGGCTTGTGTTTTAGTGGCAGCCTCAGAAAAGTCATTTTATCCTGTTAACACTGTCCATAGAGATTAAGACCACTGAACTGTGATAGTAAAAGAATGAATGCACATGGCTGGGTTTAGGGGAGTATATTTAGGGGAAGGTTTACATCATGAAGTAGTAGTGTTTAGAATCAAGAAAGTTTATATGCATAGTCAGACACAAATTCTTTCTCAAGTGAGTCATGCCTTGTTCAGAGTAAATGTAATTTCCTTTACAGTTGCAGTAAGGATTCATATATAACCTGTGATGTCAGTGTGCAAGCAATACAGCTGATACTTAAC